AAAATGTGCTGTTTTGACAAAAGAAAATGTCAGAAACATGAGAAGACTTGGGACATGTAGGGATTTTTTTCCTTTTTTTTCTTTTTTTAAAAAAAATTCTGAATTTAGACACCATGTAAAAGAAACATTTCTACATAAATTATTGAAAGGGAGAGGACTGTAAATCTCTATAGAACTTGATTTTATTATATGTAAATATTTTAGATTTAATATAAATATTTAATAAATTCAACCTGAGACTTTCAAAGCTGTCCTGCCTATCTGTGATTCCTTCTGGCTTTGCTTCTGTTGTCTTCTCATTTAGGGAAGCAGGGGAGACTAATCCCATTCTTTTTCTTTCCTTCCGATCTCACCCACAAATTAAAAAAAGAAAAACCTTGTAACTAATATTCATAGTTAAGCAAAACATCCTCAAAGTTTCCATGTCTAAAAATGTGTGTCTCATTATATCTGGAATCCATCACCTCTTTGTCCTCTGTAGGACCATGGTTGGTCATTGCATTGATCAAGGTTCTGTAACATGTGAAATTTAACAAAAGAGGAAGCTGAGGCAATTCTCCTAGCAAGATACCATTTATTAACAGGGACATGCAGCCTGATAATAAAGGATGGGTTGAATGGCCCTTCCTCTGGCCAAAAGACCCCAAACTGAAGATGCAACTCATTTTTATAAGCATAGAACAAAGAACAGAACAGAAATGATCTAATTGGCCAGCATCACAGGAAGAGGGATTATTATTAGTTACATTAACAGAATAAAATCTCAGAGTAAAATCAAATGTAAAATACAAGATCAAGAATTACGTCATTCAGTTCCTAACATTTTCAATGTTGTCATGACATAAATTGTTCTCCTAGTTCTGCTCACTTCACTCTGTATCAGTTCATATCAATCTTCCCAGGTTTCTCAGAAACTATCTCTCTTTTCCCTTACGGCACAATGATATTTCATTATATTTGTGGACTACAATGATGGGCATTCCCTTAGTTTCCAGTTCTTTGCCACTACAAAAAAAAAGCTGCTATAAATATTTTTGTACATATGAGGATATAGTTTAGCTCTTCTCCAAAAAGGTTTCACTAATAAAGCATTCAGGCTTGCATTTGTCTAGTTATTGTTAGAATTGTCACTTACCTCTCCATGTCTTGGTTCTTTAATTTCAGTAATGTGGCCACTTCCTACTGTGGTACAGATCAAAACCCATCCATGACTTCTCATCTTATATGATGCCTTTCTGTATTCTCCCATGACTCCTCCATGGGGAATCTAGTGGATATGCTGGGGAACTCTCTTTAGGTAGCTTGACATTTTGTAAATAAATGCCAGTGGAGCACACATCGCACATTATTAGACTGTGGACTACCTTTCTTTCTATCTTACAGGGCCTGACACATAGTAGGATCTTAACAGTTATACTCCTACATATCTGATCTTCCTCTTTTCCAGTCACACCGGATTATACATTTAATGCTATTTCTGTAAATTCTTCATTGGTAATGGATTGCAGCTTACTTGAGTCTACCACGCACCTCTCCATTTCCCTTCAGATAACCTGAATTTTCCAGAGACTGTGGTATTCTATGACTTGAAGCCATATTGCATTACTGGGAAAATATTGATGTTTAAAAGATTGGATTTTTTTTTAGGAGAATGACTGGTGTTACTAAAAGCATTATACAGTTTTCCCAAAGCAACTATACTCTTTTCCTCCTCTTAAATTCTTGGCTCAGTTCATTGTCCATCTCCAATGTCTATCCAAAATATCTATGCTCATGGATCAGCTCTATTAGCACTCCATCTAACAACATTTCATAGTCTGGAAAATAAGCTTTCTTCACCATTTCAGAGCCTTCTGAAAGGGAACCATGACTACTCAGAAGAGTTTGGTCTAACTGTCCTCAGAGGAAAAAGCAAGTGAATGTTTTTTTTTTCCTTCAAATTAGCTGATAATTAAAATAATTTTTAGCCTTGCAACTGAATAGAAAAAATGTAAGCCAATATAGCCAGTCTCCTAGAAGGCAGAAAAAAAATGAATTTAACCACTTAAAGGTTCACCCAAAATGAGTAGTTTATAGGTTAATAGCTAAGAAAGCTAAGTCAGTCATATGGAACAAGTGCTCAAAACCTCATAATCCTTTTAAGTGTCATTTTGAACTCTTTATTTTGCTCCTAAAGGTTTCTGAGACCCTATGCTTCCTGGTCTCAGTATGGGATACTAGACAAGGTTCTGGACTTGATAACTCTTCTTACTATTTGCTTCTTGGCGCTAATCCTAAGTATAGAAATAATATTATTCTGAGTTGTCAGCCAAAATTTTAGTGGTTTAAAAAAAAGCTTTTCCCCCATTACTCTAGAAGACATTTGTGATCCCCTTCAGCACCACATTGCCAGATAACTGGTCTGTGATGCTGCCTATTTTTATATCTACATGAAGATTTGCCACGTTTTTGAAACTCTTCAGCCCAACACTCAAATGCTAGATCCAGAAGAAACCAGGTGATGTGGCCAAAGTCAAAATGGGAGAGCAAACTCTGGCCATTTTCACTGTTACATTTTTAAACAGGCACTTTAACTGAGGCTCATGGGATCACATAGGGAACAAGAAGGCATGGAGTGTTGGAATAAATTGCTAAGAAGGTAGAAAATGGGGATTGAGTAACAGAAAGCAAAGAAAGTGTGAAGCTCCTTAGCAATGGCTAAAATCATGCCACTATGTGTCATACAACACATGGCCTACTATTTATCTTAGATACATCAGTATATTTATCTGTATGCCTTGTAAAACCAGCCAGTCTTCAGTCAGAATTGGATCCATGTTGCTTTTTTTAACAAATAACTCTAAGCAAACTAAAACTTAGAAGAAGAAGAAAACCAATTCACAATGGGATTATTAGGAATTGTGAATAAGATATTAAAATTAAATGGAAAATTCAAAATGCCCTCTACTTCTGCTTGTTTGGATTATATCACTACCATCTGGGTGCTGAATATGAACACACTGCGAGAAACTCATTTGATGCTAATTTCAGAATCCTGATACCAGAAATAACTTGTTATTGCCAGGGAGATCTACAGGAGAAGTGTCAGGCTTGACAACATTTCTGCTTGGTTTTTTAATAACTGTACCTTAAAATGAGAAAGTAGATAATTATAAGAGGATATGAATCGCTGGGGGAGTATCTGAGTGTTTTCTGCTGTGAATTTTATATGGTTTGTGTGCATGTATATATATATATGTAAATATACATATATACACACATCCATATGTGTGTATATATATAAACATAGATGTACATATAATATATAGTTAAATATATGCATAGAGTATAGTTAGATAATACATAGTTCAATAAATATAAATATATAGTTAATAAATAAGCATATATGCGAATAAATACAAGTACGTATACACATATGCATACATATAATACATGTGTGTATGTGCATATGTGTGTTTGTGTATGTATGCATATGGAGAGAGAGCGTGTGTGTGTGTGTGTGTGTGTGTGTGTGTGTGTGTGTGTGTG